ATCATACAACGTCCTTCATTTGAACAACAATTTCTTTCTTAACATCCTAAATGCTACGACTTCTTGACTTCAATCTTTGTGGTGCATAAGCCTCTGCTCTTGTATTGTCTTGATTTCGGCTCTAAATTCATTAATTTCATTCTTTTGAAACCAGTCCCACTTTGTGATCTAGCTCTCAGGTGTATTCAGCCACTACTCGAGGATCTATCGTCTTCTTATCTCGTTCATGGAACGTTGCCCAGGTGTCGCCTTTCGAACGTGTTGAATTGTTTCTATATACGCAGTGATGTGGAGTGATGTGCAAAACTTTTGCGTCAGGAGGGACTCGAACCCACATCTCACTCTATGCGGGAGAGCATGCCTTGACGCGTTGCACTAGTGACGCCCATTTTGTACATCTTTTTGGCGCAGCAATATCTCAATAATCACTCGAGTAATGAGAGTTTATGTGTTTCTTTCCTTTTCAGTGATTTTCCTCCCTCTAAAGAGAAGAGCGCTTTTATGGTGTTAGTACGCCAGCTGGACGATCAGACTGCTACTAACCGGCATTCGATCATTCAAACGTTGCAAGACGAAGGAAAAGATCTCAAAAGAAGATGAGGAGCTGTCATCGCTAAAGATGCAAAGGTTGTCAAACCTTATTAACATCAATGATTTTCAAACAGCTTCGTGAAATTGCTTCAGTCGGCAAAGAAATTATGACATATTAGCGAATCCGATGTCAGAGGAAAGTCGGTTATCAATTTATTAATGATTTTTCTATCAAAATTGACGATTTATCCTCAAATACGTGTCCGTATCCACTCTCACGTACTTCACATTACAACAGACAAGCTCTGCAGTACAGCTGGTGATCACTTTTAAGGCTATATAAATTGGTACGCAATGAATAGGCTCTCGTTTTTCCAAGTTTGATTCCTTGTTTATGCCATGAATTCAAGATAGTTTATTGTTTATAGCTATGATGAGACTTTATGCGCGGAGACTTAGACCTTGAGCCGAGTTCAGAGCTACTTTTCTATAATTTTGAAGTCATTTGAATGCTCTTTCAATAACTCATATTCAAGTTTATTGTTTATTTACTTAGAGGGCCGAAAAACTAACCATAAGTATAGGAAATCCCATGCAATTTACCAATTTTGCAAGAACCTAACAATAAACATTGCTCTTTTTTGCTTCGCAGCTTTGTGATAATGGTCTTAATAGATGGCATCAACGATAACAACCACAGACTTGAGCTGTTCCGCATCAACTTCATTCATCTTCTGAAGACAGAAAACTGACCACAAAAGTGTCAGGATACGAGCAAAACCTGAAACCCAAATCATCGAACTCGCGAGTACTTTCAAAGGTTTATCGCTAAACCATCGAGACCCTTGCTCTTCTCTGCTTTTTCTCAGTCATGTTTAGAGATATTCGCTGACTGTCAGCAATCAGCGTTCAGCGGAATTGATCTATGGGGTCGAACTGGCATAAACCCCAGATAAACGAAATCCAATGATGATTCCACAAAAATCTTTAGAAATTTGCCTTTCGAATCGCACAGTTAACATATAAACCGGCATCATAGCTTTCAAAAGATAGCTTTATAGAGCGAATGCTCTAGTGATTCTTTGCGACAAATAAACGTTTGGTTGATACTTTGTTGTATTTACGAATTACACGAAGTTGTTAACATTTCTTCAACTGTTAGCAATTCGGCATCTGCACCTTTTTCAGAGCCGTAATGACTTTAATTTCATCTCTAGAACAATTGTTTCTTCTTTCGGTGTTTGTCATAATCGTGGCGATTAACTCCATTGGATTGCAATACTCCATAAACAAAATGGCCTCATCCGAAATTCAAGGCATTTTCATAATAACCGTTACAAAAATTTCGTAGCAATCTTGCTCAAGATCTAACAAAAGATTTGAGCAAGGGTTCAAAAAACAGTAGAATATAAAGGTATTATCAAAAATACCAGTTTTAAGCAATCGGTTGTTGATCACTACAATGTCCGGTGACCTTGTCACTGGACGTGATATCACTGCAGTGTTTGAAGGGTAAATTCACTTCACACGTGCGCAGTAAAACCCGTTCATCGACGATTCCTTCATGTAAGGAGGTTCTCCTCTAGAAGGGATTGGCTCAGATGGAAGGCACCGTGCAACTGACGAAGCTGTAATACCGAAACACGTGTCTTGAACTGTATAAGTGCCGAAAAAACTCATGAAAGGCTCAAAAATACATTGTCAAACTATGTTGTTTTGAGCGAGGTCTCAGAACCTAGTCGAACATAAAACTATCAACAGACAATTGTTACTTATGTCGAAATTCAATGAAAGTTGCGTTCAAAAATTTGCTGTGTGATGGCCCTTCTTTAGCCTAACAGTCTGATGCCTCAAAGATCTTTCCTGTAATTATAATGATCTCGACAATTAATTTCATTTATGATTCATCTCCTTATACGCATTTGTTTTTTTTTTTCGATTTTTCCTGATTTACGAGCACATACAAACACAAGTTATTGCATCATTGACTACAAGTTTTCCTTGGAACACAATGTCTCCCTCATTCAAATTCATTTTTCCTCATCAAAACTGATTTCGCCTGCATCAGTATTGTCTTGGCAATATCTAGAAATCTCTAACTGCGGCATTAGTTATCAATAATATTTTTTTGAATAACTGAGCTTACCCGGGGTTGATAATTGGATCTTTGAATAAAGGTTCGAGGTCTTCGTCTTCTTCACACTGGTGATTCGAGTAGATGTCCGTGGTCTTTGGTCCTCGTTGTGGTCTCCGCGATCGTTTAGTTCGAGGCGAATCTTCCTTAGTATAACATCTTTTAGATGAGGAAGCTCACTTGGCGGTGTCTTTGCATGATACATGAAGGACGGTTGATGGTACTCCTCGAATTCACGAGGAAAAACGACAGCGCGCAACGACTCGAGTAATCGTTTCTGAAGAGGTAGTAGAGGTCATGATGTTAGCCGAATCAAATTTTTCAGCAATGCTGTGTAAGCTTAAACACTTAAGGTATTTTATGGATAAATATGACCTGGTTATCGTCGATCCATCACCTAACGAACGGGATAATCAGGAGCTACATCACATTAATCCATTTATACTGAATACTACCGCATTGGCGATAACATTAAGAAAATTCTGAACTTGAGGTTTTCTGTGCTGATCCAACTTCCAAAATTCCTGTCTTATCTCTGTCGTGTGCCCTTTTTCTGGGGTAGGAAATTCACGTAGGGCCACGAATCTTGATTACATCTGTGGTTTCAAGTATCTACACATCGCAACGAGATGTTGAAGCAAACAAATCGAACGAAAAGCTCTTTTTTTCTCATTGGAAAATCTAATTTTTTAGTACCAAAGGCGAACCAAAGGCGTAGAAAATCGGTTTACTTTCTCGGCCAACTGAATTTGTGTATCATTTTTTGCTAACTGTAGAGAAAAATGAAAGACACTTGATATTGATGAAATTCTCACAAACGCGAAATGGAGACTCAAGCTTTCCCGTAGTTCACTGGACCAGCTCCTTTTTGAGAATCTCAAAACATGTCAGACTTTTCTCGGCACTACTTCGCTATATGACCACTTCGATACACACTACCTTGCTGATTATAGTAAATGCCAAGCTAAGTGGAAGCAGCCGGCCGGCTATCAATCAGTTCTGGACATCGATATCGCATCTTGGTTTGAAGTGACGGGATAGCGCAGTGATTGATGATGCAGTGTATCAGGAAGCAACTTGATAGGCAAAGCTCTGTCTCGATCCCTTCCCACAAAACTCAGTCAGTTGGAAACGCCTGACCTTTTAAGTCCCATATTGTGAGCAAAATCGTCTCGACGAATCTGTTACGACATTCATAAAGAAGACGAAATTGACAAGCAGCAACCGAAACAACCTGTGAAATGTTTGAAGACCTTTGTGGAGAATGAACAAGGCGAAATGAGGCAAATGTAAGAAGTGCTGGGATTCTTACAGTAAATTCTGATGACGTATCGTGTAAGAAAAAATTTGCTCCTGAAATTAGAATAGATAAAACTCCCGAACTTGACTCATGTGCAAAGCGGAGTGATCTTTATGACTTTTCTATTCGTTGGAGTTTTTTCAAGATTGCGCCATATGTTTGGAGATATATTACAATATCATTCACGTTGAATATTTAGTGAGCAGTTAGTAAGGTTTAATGGTGGGTATAAACTATATTCTAATATAATTAACAAGAAACAACCACAATCTGAACATAAACAACACCAAGCTGACTCGTTACAAGCTATTTGTTCCGTCTTCCTCCAATTCCACGGTTGACATGAATCCGAATTCGACGCTGACTACCCTGTTTCCATCTTCCAATCACTGGCCTATTTATGCATCTAGAGACTCGTCAATGACTGTGGTATGAATTGAGTGATTCCATGAATAGTGGCAGCGAACAATCAGTCGAATGATCACTGCCGCGTTAGCTGCAATAGTAGAATTATAACAGTCAATTTGTGTCGCTTCGATATTTGGTTGAGAGTGCTTAATTTGTGAATAATACCGTTTGAAAAAATTGAAATTGTAGTGAGAATTAGTGTAGTGATTCATAGGACATAAGCCACTTAACCTACTCTGAATGATTCGAATGAGAAGTTAGAAGACTAATTTAGTTCTGGGGAAGGCGTTATGGTGGCTTATATTTGCTTTTGTATAAGCCAGCTGAACTTTTCACACTCATTGCTGCGTGCACAGCGTCCACCTCAAACTTCATGATACATCTTTATGCATTAATTTTAGTAGACAATATAGAGCACGATACCTAGGAGAATTGAGTAATCAAAATACTAGAATTTTCGAGTATTACAATGGCTCAACTGGGTTTACAAAGCGAAATCGTATACCCGACTAAACCTGTTGAAGGTTGGTGGCTGACAGCTAACATAGAGATGTTGAAGAATGAGCGGCGGTGCAAATGTGGCTTGTATGGCTCTAATGAAGCGAGCGATATCGCCGAAACGTGCGTACCTCGGTGGTGTAGTGGTAGAGCAAGCATCCCCGGCATGGATGAAACGCGGGTTCGATTCACGCCTGAGGTCGTGTTTTTGCTCACCACTCAATTCTCCTAGGTATATAAGAAACATCATAACACTGCGAAAAATGTAGTTTAAATATTAGCAATTTCGAGTACAGAGCACGATAAGCAATTGCTGGGTGAATAACACATCAACGCCAAAGTGAGGTGTATATGAAAAATGTTTAAATGAGCAAAGAGTCGGAACGAGTCACATACGACTTACTTTATTTCGACGTCTGTTTTACCACACTTTTGTAACTAATCGTTTGTTGATCGAACACACATATTCGACATAGTTGATGAGAATAAGCTATTTTACACTCAGAAATATAAAAGAGCTCTTTTTTCTTCCAACCACACTAACCGCTACATCACTATTATTTCAGGTCCAACCCATATATTTGTTATCATTAACTCATTTCGACCCACCACTACATTTTATTATCCGAATGCTAGCACTTTGTAGCTCATTCATATCCTCGCATTCATGACCACCAAGGTCTTCGCACACCTCGCGTGTTGTTGCTTTTGTTTAAGTAAATCGTCATTTTTATGAAGGTTGTGGAATGCTAGTGAAGGTGATTCTTCTCACAGCCCTGAGGTAGCGGAACTGAGGCTTTCCTGTAACGACAAATGTAATCCCTTCAAATCATTTTTGAGTTCATTTACCGAAATCGAGCCTTTTTACCTACCTTGTCAATTCAATAATAGAATTTTGGTTTGAAGAATTTATCGAATAGATATTTATTTCAATGCGACGATTGCATGCATGGGTCGCCTATTTACTTTAAAAAAATATACTACAATTGGTGTAAGGAGTGTACTTGTCTAAAGGGGGAAATGATTATTTATGGCATAGAGAACATTCTCTGAGCTGCACTTGTCATATATCCCTCGCTTCGCCTTGCTATGACCACTTCGAATTCGTGGAAGCATAATCACTTTGGGAAAAGGCGATACATAAATTTCGACTTCGCATTTAGCATGGCTAGAACAAAACATTTAAGAAATATTAATTCTATCTTTCGCAACGAAAGCTTCACTCTCTCTTGTTGAATATTCTATATAAGATTATTTTATAATTCCTTCAAATGTGCAAAGATAGTTCACTTGATATCGAACTTGAAATAATAAAAATTAATGTCGAATATTCGGGAATAAATTCGAGAATAAGGCACTGAATTATCTCAAAATTAGGAATGTTTGGTAGAAGTTCATTAGGCTTGTCATTCAGTCACCACCATCACTATGCACTCTTCACTAGTTCGCTGAAATTCTTGTCAAACTTATGCACTTTTACCGATGGATTGAGATTCGTTGAATCTGTCGAACATGAAGTTACAAAATCGAAATAATTGAAATTCCTTCCAGAAGTTGGAAGCTTCCATAGATAGCGTAATGAAAACAAAGTAACTGCTGCAAAATATTACTTGAGTAGTTGAACGATTCGCTTACTTCCATCCCTCACAACCAGTTTTAGTGAAGATAAAGGCTGCGGCCATCTGCCATAATAGATGGCGACAGGTTCGAATGTGCTGCAAGATTCATCTCTATTGAGAGGAAATATCGTAGAGTTTCTTCTCTTCCTCACTGCATTTTTGTTTTTCAATTGAAAGCTCAGTAAAAAAATCGTACATGACTACATTAAACTACATAAAGAGCATAGTCATGAAATTTCTTGTGTCCTAATTGTTTACAAGTTTATTTAGCCGGCAGACTTCAATTCCTCTCTCATTCTAGAATAATGATAATTTCTTTACGAACATAAATTGTTCTTATCTTTGAAAGTTCTCTAGCTTACACTATGGAGAATTTAATGCTATTTTTATAATCCCATTCCACTGCTTCATCAGTTCCTTGTTTCACCATGTGACCGGTCACAAATTTCATTCTGATCTCTTCAACACCATGTTTGCCAGCCAACACAAACCTAAAAGTCGAACATAGAACTTTTTTGAGGTCATTTCTGTTATTTCCAACCACTTCAGCTCATTGGTATTCACACCCTTTCTGCTGTATTTCAGAGTTTTGGTAGTCATTCAGTTCCTTAAATCTGAAAACTTTCAGTAATGTTTTCTGTATGAAAAGGCCTTCCTGATGCGGTGTAGCAGCAAAATCAAGACTAATTGTTACATTCGGCGTGCTTTTTGCTGAACAGGGCTTCTTCTCTAAGCTTTCAGTATTATTTGATATCTTAAATCTGGGTGATTTGAACAGTGTGCCTGGTTCACGAAAAGGCCTTCTCTGAGTACTGTTGCAGCAAAAACAAGGTTGAGTGAAGAATGGATAACTCGACAATCAGAAAATGCCCATATCAAGAGCTTCAATAAATCTGCTTCGAGCACATTAAATCAAAGCAATCAAGCAGCCATAAAGATGAGGTGAACAAGTGGTCGAAAGCAATTCGGTAAAGCTTATCGTCGATTTTCTCACAAGATCCGTGCTCACGTCTCTTGTGAGGACTTCAGTATTTCGTGCCCTAGATTCAATCTCCTGCAAGCAACATTTGAGTCTTCGGACTTCTATGTAGGCTTAACTGCTACGTGAAAAAATGTCGTGTCTTTGAGTGTTAGTAGAATTGATTAGTCTTTGCATAATCTGTGTTCTCATTAGTTTTCTGCTAAGATCTACCATAGTATCAGGGAATTTTATAGGTGGCGTTAGTATGCCAGGCTGGAAGCATCTTCGGTAGCTATCTATTATTCAGTCCCTCCTGAGAGGACCTTAGGTCTATAACCGAGCTATCACTATTTCATCATGATCAAGTTATCTCCACCATTTGTTTATCGACAGTCTACATTCTTAGGCTGCGATGCCCATACTATTGTACTTCATTTATTCGCACTCTCACATTGATTCAGATCTCTCTGCCTCTTCCCTTGTTGTATCTCCTACCCTCTCATTGCTTGAGTATCGTTCTTGCTTCACTGTTTATTCTTTCTCTCTTAATCCATACTATCTTTTTTCCACTCTCTCTCTCTGTCTGTCTGTCTGTCTCTCTCTCTCTCTAAGATCTATATCTCTTTCGCTATCCCATTCATCTCCAAACAAATCCCACTAAGTACATTAACGTTACTTCGCCTTCCTGGTACCTCATTCCTAGGTTTATTGCTCGAGTTCACATTGAACATTCTCTTAATCATCTTTCTTCATAGTAGCATGTTAGAATTCTTCCGTCTCTTTTGTAAACGTTAAGATCTGTCATGACGCCGCAAGTTAACTCGTTCTTCCCACGCGGCAATCATCACTCGAAAAGATCGACCCCCTGTTGTGAGTGGCAAACACTTCACTCATCGCTTTTCGTCACCGAATTTTCATTACAATGGCTATCAATCAAACGGACTTCATCCACTTTTAGCACAAAGCTTCGCATTCAGAATTATAATCATCGCAAGAAGATTTTCATTTTTTTACATTTTGTCACAAAAAGTGTCAATTTCTATCGTTTATGAGGAAATGAGAATGTTCATAAGGTAATGTACTTCTACAAATCTTCTTTAACTATCGCTAGTTTTTGTACAATCCATCTAGAAGATACTTAAATTTTGAAAAATACAAATATGTTTGGTCCAGTTTTAATACCAAGACACCCACCTCTTGCTAATTCTTTATTATCAGACGCCTTTCTGTCCTGTTCTTTTTTTTTGGAAGCTGAGATGAATTATTCGGATCATTATGTATAAGTAGACACCAGCAAAGTGTCTGCTCCAATTTTTTTCCTAACCACATCTGTCCAATAAGATTGAGGGTAACGTTCATCTGACCAACTTTTGGAGCATCATAATGTTGATATAAGTTCCTTCTCTCTTGTTTTGCTAGGTAGAATCTGTCGTTCACTTTGCTCCGCCGTGAAATAGGAAGAAGAAGATTTGCTTATATATGAAAACACGATACTCACTGGGGTCTTGGTTGATCCGCCTCGATCTCTGTATATGTATGTAACCGTTTGCGAGTCGATTCTCTTTGAAAATTGAGCGTAGTAGTGTTAGAGCGTTCCCAAATCCTCATCACATCAGCCCTTCGAATATTTGGCTTGAATTTCCCGACTCGAGAGAAACAAAGGCTAGTTCAACTGTGAAGGATCGAATGAGGGTCTTAAACGAGCAAGTGGCTGCTACTTATGATTATGTATTATTTATCATATTACACAATCCATTACCATAATTCACTGTGTAATTCGATCCCAACACTTTTTGTATTTAACATGATTCCTCGCATTCATTCCCCACCAACGATCTTCAAACATTTCATATGTTGGTTCGGCTGTTGCTTGAAAATTTCCTTTATGAATGTCGTAAAATGCTGACAGAGACGATTTTCTTTGCATTTGCGAAGTACAGAGCTAAGGCGTCGTAGGCGTTCAGTTGACTGATCGCAAGAAAGTGTTTGATTTGGAAATCGAATATCGCTTATCACCTTGCATTCACACATACTGCTTCACTAACCAATGCGCTACCTCTCCCTAATTATTATGGTAGTAATTGCAATAACAACGATGCTAAGCACTAATAACAGCAGCAACAAAAATACAATCAATGATAACAATATTATCAATAATGACAGTAATAAATCTAAGGCGCGATTCTTTCATCTTTTGGCTTTCACGTTAATATCTCGTGTGGCACGCAACACGGTCGCCGAGTGGGCGGCCCGCGCTTCAGTAACGATTTTATAGTTTTCTGATGAAATTGAGCAAGTGCAGAAGGTTTGGAAGTCTCATCATCACATGAGAGACCTGATGCGCCACCTGTTAACGATAGATATCAGTGTTCAATACCTATGAAAAAGACTTTTGTACTCTAGGGTTACTTTCAGCACACGACTTATTTTGAATTATTCATAGTCATTGTATAGAGAGAGAAGCCGGATATAAGGACAAAGGATAAAGCTCTTGACGTTGATCATTCCGCTAGGAATGAACTTCGTTTGAGGTGATTGAATGCATATCTGGCCTTTAGAATGACTCACGGTCGCCTCCAGTTGTACCAAGTCAGTGTTGCTTATCCTCCCCGACAAGTCTGA